GAGTAGGACACCAGCGCGTTCTCCTGCGCGTCCGCGTCGTGCGCCGACACCGTGAAGATGTGGCTGCCGGGCGGGTTGTTCTCCTTCACGAACACTGTGTACTCGGGCTGCGCGAAAGCGGGCGCGTTGTCGTTCACGTCGGCCACCTGCACGGAGACGCTGGCTGTGGCCGACAGGGAAGGCGATCCCCGGTCCCGGGCTGTCACCACTAGAGCATAGGCCGGTACTCTCTCTCGGTCCAGGGCGCTGTCTAGCACCAGAGAATAGTAATTCCTGTAGGTGGACACTAGCTTGAAGGGGACATTGGGCATCAAGGTGCAGGTGACCTGACCATTGACACCAGAGTCCCGGTCGGACACGCTGATCACGGCGATGACCATGCTGAGTGGAGCGTCCTCTCTGACCGGAAGAGACAGAGAAGTTACGGATACTTCAGGGGCATTATCATTGACGTCCAGGATATTCACAAGGACTGTGCAGTGCCCTCTCATTTGCGGAATCCCCTTATCTGCTGCTTCCACTAGGATTTCATAAGAGGGGATGGCTTCATAATCTAAATTCCCTTTTAGTCTTATTTCTCCAGTGTTTAAAATGATGGTGAATATTTCTGTTATCCTAAAAGATACTTCATTACTAAAATGATAGGTAATTTCTTGGTTGGAACCTTCATCCACATCTGAAGCATTTAACTTTATCACAGCCGTCCAATTTTTGGCATTTTCCGGAAGACTTATCTCATACACAGATTGTTGAAACTCAGGGGCATTGTCGTTGACGTCTAAGACCTTAATAAGCAGGTTAACGCTGCCTGTGAGTTCAGGTTTGCCCCCGTCTGTGGCTGTTAGTAGCAAGGAATGCTCACGAATTTCTTCTCTGTCTAACGATTTCTTCAATATGAGTACTATCAATTTCTTTTGATCGTTTTTTGAAATTACGTTCAGTGAAAAATAATCACTAGGAGTGAGACTATAGGTTAGAAAAGCATTGGAGCCGATGTCCGCGTCAGTCGCGCCCTCTAGTGGAAACCGAGAATCAGGCGGCCTAGATTCTAAAATGGATAATGTTTTCTGTGATACTGGGAACACCGGCGCGTTGTCGTTAATGTCCTTCACCTCCACCTCCACGTGGAAAACCTGCAGCGGCTTCTCCACGATCACCTCCAGGTGGACGCCGCACACCGCGCTCCGCCCGCACAGCTCCTCGCGGTCCAGCCGGGAATTCACGAACAGGATGCCGTTCTGCAGATTCACCTCCAGAAAGTCCCCGCGGCCTTTGGACGCCACCCGGAACAGGCGCGGCACCAGCTCGGCCAGCTCCAGCCCCAGGTCCTGCGCGATGCGGCCCACGAAGGTGCCTTGCTTGGCCTCCTCGGGGACCGAGTAGTGGACCTGGCCGCTCCCAGTCTCCCAGGCTGCCAGGAGCAGAAGCCAGAGCAGCAGACGCCTGGCTCCCGGGTCTTTTCTGGAAGCTACCATAGCACACGTTGTGAGACTCGGATATCAAAACTGACCGCTTATTTGTGGGTAAAAGAAGAATCTTGTTCTGCTATACGCCTCACACACGGTGAACTGCAAAGGCCGGAGCTGATATGGAACTCCGCCCCTCTTGTGTATCTAAGACAGCTCTGCTAAAAGCAGGATTGTGGGTGAAGAGAGACCTCAAGTGTCTAAAGCTATAAATGCATCAACTATCTAAGGAAAACAGTTTTATTTCTCCAAATACTACAATCCTTTCACTTAATTTTTATGGTCCATTGTATCTAATTGATTGCAAATATTCCGAATTTCTCTAAATGAATGTCATTACTGCAGACAACCCTATGTTAAAATATGATTCTCTATTCTAAATTTACATATTTTATTTATTTACGGCACTATAGAACTCCAACCTAGAAATTAGATTCCTCAAATAAATTTTGTACAAAAGCAACTTTGATTTTGAGTCGTGTGGCTTAGAAATTCAAGTACTATAATGCATTTCTTATCAACCTTAACTATCTGCAGCAGAAATACATATAATCCATCAAAGTAATTATTTTAAAACCTGAAAAAAAATAATTTAAAGTCAATAGTCAAATGGATTTAATATATATGACAATTTTCTCAAGTCATAAGCACGTATCTTGTATAATATTAACAATTACTTTGAAAAATTCCTTTATAGAGAAATTATTAAAGAATTCCTCAATTAGCATATGGAGAAATGGAAATAGATTGTTGCATATTTAATATAATTTCTTAATGGCATGATGGGAGCTCTGGTAGCATAGTAGCTAAGACACTTGCCTGCTAACCAGACAGCTGGCGGTTCAA